TGAATATAGGAAGGTGTAGGGCATTTAATCGTAGATCATGTTCCACTATAGTCTTTTCACTTATTTTTATCCTTAGACTTTGTTGTTGTTGTTACAAATGATTGAGTTATTATAAATGAAGGCGTCATTGCATTTTCTGCTTAGCATTGATCTCTTGGTTGGTTGGAAGAGTTCTTCTTAGTCAATTGTCAACAAGAAGTTAAAAGTTTTTGCAAGTATTCTAACCGCTTCTTCGACTGAGTTATTCGCATTAATAAAGCCCATTACAAAATCTGTCCCAAAGAGTTCTTGTCACGGCGTCTAGTTAAAATTTATTATAGTCTATACCACTTGTGTACAGGAGCATATTCAGTTCGTGCGGATGTATGCAACACCTAGAAGGGTTTGAGATAGAACCACCTTATATTACACCGATCTGATCCAAGCCTATCTGAGTCCCTCTATTTCGCTTATGCTTGCTTTTTCGATCCTATATCGCTTGTAGTGCAATGGCACATTAAGCTTACACGGATGTATGCAACATTCAAAAGGACTTGAGATAAACTCACCTTTTATTGTGGCGTTCTGTCCGTCTTGCTTTCTTATCCTCAACCTAGAGGCCGTAATTTTTGAAATATTTTGATAAAGCTTGGTATACTCTCGAATTTTGGCTCAAGGACGAACGCTATCGAAACTGATCCGGATCACTTTGTCGACTACTTCGCAATTTAACGCCTTATTTTGAAAAGTTGTTATGTGAATAACAACAGGTGGTGTAGGTCATTTAAAGCCCTGCCATGGTTTATTGCTATAGTGTTTTTGCTTGTTTTTAAATTAAGTTAATATTATTTAAAAATTCGTTGTATTACGATTTGCGATTTCAGCGAAATTTTTAGTGGTTAATGGTCGTCTTTGCAGGGACCCGCAAGATTGCAGCGGTTACTTGGATTAAACTAGTTAGTTATTGTCATATCCTATAAGAGTTCATACTTCGGTAAGATCAACATTATTCAGAATTGTTATTACAATGTTTGATTGCAACTACATTTTTTGTGAAAGTATGAGTGTTATAATAGTCGCCTTTAAATTGTATCAGTTTGTTAGCTTACACCCGATCTTTCGGTTGAATCGTTAATATTAAAACTTGCTCTCACTATAACTTTGTATTTTAGCACTAATCCGATATCGGCTTAAAAATTATAATAGTGAGTTTCCATAGATATGAAATAAATAAAAGTAATCATAATATAAATAAATTAAAGGAAAAAATAAATAATTAATAATTATATTTATAAAAATTATCAAAAATTTAATTTTCTCTTTTTTGGAATCAAATCAGGCACGTTTAAGATTTTTTTTTTTTAAATAAATATAGGTGATGGGTATTATTAAATTCGGTTCGAGCCGAAATCAAAGCCTTTATATTATTTGTAAGATTCATCGAATGCCACTCAGCTTTTGGTGTACATTGCATTTTGTAAACATAAAAAAAAAAAAAAAAAAAAAAAAAAATTCTTAAATAAATTTATAACAAAATAAATATTTAAACAAAATAAAAAATTAAAATAGTTAACAAAATTTGAGAAAAAATAATAAAACGGTATAAATTTTATATTGATTTTTTGATCAAAATCATTTGCACTTTGAAAATAAAGTCTCTTCGTTTATCAATTTGTCTCTATATAATCTTTTTAATGGCCGGAAGCGGTAGATCGAAAACCGCTTGTCTTCTATGACTTACCACTGAAAGCAGATTTTTCTTGCTTGAGAAAGCATCAGATAAAAAAATATTTCTTTAAATTATTTTTTTTGGTAAAATTTTTAAGTTTTCAAGTAGCTTTCTGTGTTTGACTTTCAGTCGGTTTTAATATTTAAAGATTTTTAGCATTTTGGTTTTTTATTTCTTTTTTTTTGTTTTTTTTGTTTTTCACGCAGAGCACTTGATGTGTTATTTCTTAACAACGTTTTGCCTCTTTTTATTTATTTATTTTTTTTTTTTTTCTTTTTATGTAAATCTTTTGAATATTATTTTTAACTACTTAATAAAACGTGTTAAAAGATTTAAAGGAAGATTTTTAATCTTAAGCTTTAAAGGCATTTGAAGAGTATCTTTTTTTTTTGAGTTTAATGAGTAAAAATTTTCTACGCAAGTGCTTATTTACTTCTCGTATCGATTTTTGTTTGATGCGCTTAAGAAATCTTATTCAATTTCTTTTATATTTTCTGTACTTCGTTTCAAATTGTTTATAAAAATAAAAGTATTGAAGGCCAATCGGCCTCTGTTTAAAGGGATATTCTTTGTACGCGTTTTGTAAAATAAATTTCAATATCACAGTTTGGGATTTTTCTTCTTTTTTTTTATAATTTTCACAATTATATAAAAGATCATTTATTTATTTGTTTTTTTTTGTTTGTATTTTTTTTTTTTTTCGTTTTTTGTTTAAATTCAATTGATAATAAAATTCTTTAGTTGATCAATTTGGTTTTTCATCAGTTTGCATTTATTTAAGTAAACGAACATTCGGTCTTAAATTTGTATATGTATTGTGTTTGATTATAACTATATTGTTTTTTAAATTAAATTTTTAATGCATTCTCATTTCACAATAATATTCTGTTGTCCATATCCTGTGCTATTTTTTTTTTTTTTTGCTTTTTTTGCTTGTTTAAAATTAAAAATACAAATATACATACATAAGCTTACAAAGAACGGTTAAACATCATAGTTTTAGTACACTTAACTTCAAATTATTTTATTTTAGAGCTTAGCCAATATTGTATATATTTATACATACATATAAATATATATATATATATATAATATATATAAATATACATATGCATACACACACACATATATATATATATATATATATATATATATATATATATATATACGTTAT